CCTCCCATGATGGACTTCTGTAACTTACCCCAAGTTTAGGTGAGGTTATAAGCCTACCATAAACAATTACTACCTCCCATGAACCTGCAGCTAAACCCAACCGCTCGCCGGTGCCTCCTGTAGGCGACGGGCGCCACCGTTTTGGAGCGAAGACGTCGCCTGGGTCCCAGGGAGCCCAACATACTGAAGTAGATAGACTATGGGGTACTAGGTTCCCCAGTAACCCATTAATAAAGGTACCCTTTTTCCTACTGTTCAGCTTTAATGAGGAGACCCCCAAATACAAAGGGCAAAAGGGTACTACTGGGGGACTATGGGATATAAGGGGCTGTGAAGTAGATAGACTATGGATGGGGTATAAGAGGCTCCTCGGATGGTTTTGGGGCAGTGCGTCGTCTATCTACTTAATGGGATTAACATATGTCCTGGGAGCATTCTAAAGCGATAACGCCAGCTCGGATTATGTTTGTGTAGGGGTTTGCGGATTTGGGTGGAGAAGAAGAACATATCCCAAAGCCTACAAAGATTCTAAGCATATACGCCATTGTCTAAACGCCTAATTTCCCCCTTAAACAACCCCCACAATACTCCTCTATATAACCTCCCTCATGGAGTCTAGACTATAGAAACTATACCTTAGTTAAGGGGTGCTGGGATCCCTGGATAGGGTTTAGGGTTTAAGGTTTATACTAGGAGGGTTGGGGCAAACGGTTTGGGTTTTGGTGCTTGCCTGCCCTAAACCCTTCGGATTTAGAGGCTGTACCAACCCTAAACCCTAAACCCTGAACCCTAAAAGCTAAACACTAAACCCTACACCCCAAACCCTAACCCTAAGCAGCTCAAAAAGCCCGTCCCCAAAATGGCGGCAAGCCCTGTTTGTGGGTTAAGATCTCCTTCAAAGCAAATGCATCCCCAAACCCAAAAAAAAACTGAACCCTAATCCCTAAACCCTAAACCCCATCCTCAACGGTCCTTCCTTTGAAAGGATCCTTATAACCACCCCCATAAGAGCTTTAGTCTAAACTCCGTAGAGCGGGTTATGTAGGGGATGAGATAAGGGAGTATTATAAGGGTTATGAAGGGAGATGCTAGGAGTTTAGACTATGGCTCATAAGGGGTTTGTACGGGATTAGAGGCGTTTAGGGTTCAAGGGGCTTGTGGGGGATTAAAGGTTACCTGTTCTGGCCAAGCAACATAAGGTTTTTTTCCGGCTAAAAGCCGAGGATTTGGGGTAGGGGTTAGGGTTTGGGAGAGGGACTTGCAAGCTCTAGTTGGATGATCTGTTGGCTTAGGAAGTCTACCCACTATCCCCAATAACCCCTCGTATGAGCCCCATAACCATAGTTGCTAAGCAGACTTATCAAGTCAAGAGATCCTCGAATTAATCCTAAACCCTAAACCCGTAAGCCTTAAACCCTAAACTCTATAAACCCGAAACAGGAGCTTCCGGGGCTACCCAAAAAACTGGGTACTAGCTGGGTTTCATTGTGCTACCTCAACCCTACAGAACCAAACCTTGTCAGGTCATGTCCCGGATGTTTTCGATAAAGGGCCTTGAAGTTATAGATTCCGCAAGGTCGAGGAAGGGGTACATGTAGGCGCGGTGGTTGTTGGCAAATGTCTGATTACGTTTAGCTGCTGGGACCCGGAAAGATTCATACGGGCTTGCGCACCTCTAAAATTCGCCATGCTGTACTAACCCTCGAGTCGCATAAGCCCCTTAGCGAACCCTATGCTCTGAACGGTAAGCCCTCACCTCTCAACCCAGAATCCTGAAACCAGAAGATCAAATGCTCTGTGAGTCTTACGTGGCTGCAGCATAGATATGGTAGTTTCCCTAAATAAGGGGACCCCAATATAGACCCTAATATACTATAGTCCTTGTTCTTGGGACCCCCCAAAAGGTATCCCTAATTTTGGGAAGCCCCCATATTTTGGAGCCTCAATGAAACTGATTGCACAGGCGAGCTTCTGCATTTTGACTGTGCTCAAAACCCTTACCTGGACCCCAAAAGTATGTAAAATAATGGCCTTAATGGCTATTATTATGGGTTTAGGGCTATTATTTTACATACTTTTGGGGTTTAGGTAATCCTTATCTTCTTTCCTGCCGGCTCCAAGAATGATGCCATCTCATCAAGCCGTTTGACACCCCCACAAAATTGAGGCTTTAGAGCTTGATGATACGTTCGTGAGGGTTTAGAGTTTGAGGATAAGTTCGAGGGTTTGAGGGCAAGGGCTTTATTAGGGTTTAAGAGTTTTCGGGATCTGGATAAGGATTTAGGGTCCGGGTTCAGGATTACTGGTCCCTAAGCCCCAAACCCTAAGCCCCATAAATTCAGGGTTACGGTTACGGGCTTCAGGTCTTCGTTTCCGGTTCAAGGTTTAAGCGCGTGCCAGGCTTGAATTGAAGGTCCCCCAAAATGTCGGCCTTCAAGCCCTCCAGACGTACAACATCAGCACACAGAACCCTAAACCCTAAACCCTCTTTCAGCCCACTAAACCTCAGCTCTTGAAGCCTTCTTGGGGTCTGAAGCTTCAATTCAGAGCATTTCAGAACCTGAAATTCAGCTAAGCCGATTTTTTTCTCGATGTAACCCTGCATTTGGGGTGAGTCCGGTCAGCTGGTTTTAGTTTGCCCAGTTTAGGGTAGTTATGGGATACATCCGGGGGGGAACCCCAGATAGGACTAATTCCCTACGAATAAGAAACATACTTCGAAGGTCGGTAGAGGGCACCTAGAGGTTACTCAGGAGGTCTGTACAATCTGGGGGCCCCTTTCAAAATCTAGATTAGGGCTTAGGGTTTACCCCGTGAACCGTGAACCACACTGGTATGCTGCACCTGACTGGAGAAGCTGCAGCGCATACCATGGCTAAGCACTGAGAATCACTGAAATAATCTCCATAAGGTCCCGTCAAAGGGGATAACATGGATACAATTTAAGGTATAGGGTTTAGGGGTAGAAGATTACAGGGATACAACCCTGGCTACCTTATAAGTTAGGGTTCAAGGTTTTAGAGTTCATAGAGTTTAGGGTTTATCTAGGGGTTTAGGGTCTAGGGTTGTTGTTGAGATTGTTCATGGTTGGCCTGATAGATGGCTGGGGAGTGGGCCTCAGGCGAAGTTGTCTTTGAACCCCCCCAATTTCAGGCTTTGGGACTATCCGGCAGGACTCGTTCATGGGAGGTTCCAGTAGGGTTTAGGGCGCTCATGTGAGGTTCCAGAACCTGAGGCCTGCTTTGATGTGGAAGCCTTACCCACCCCTTGATACAAAGAATCCTTGAATTAGAGGCGTATGGCCTCTTGTTTCAAAGGACATGGCATCATAAGCCCAGGTATGAGCCCGAGAGCCTAAACAACCAACCCTTGAAAAACTGTAATCCCTCAATACCTTCTGAACGGTTATCTAAACTCCTACTAACCCCTATAAAACTTCCCTATACAAGCCCCTATAACCACCCTTTAACGAGTTTAGACTATGGCTCATGTGCTAATCCTTACTTCCTTGAAGCACGGTGTAGCAGGTGGGAGCCCGCAGATATCTTCTGCACCCTAAACCCTAGACCCCAAACCCTAAACCCGAAACCCTCTCCTTTTATGCTGCGATGCAGCTGACGCGGCTGGAAGCCGAAAGCTACGAGATTTAGGGTCGTTTAGGGTTTGGGAAGAGGGTTTAGGGTTCAGGGCTTAGGGCTCAGGGTTTAGGGTTCAGGGTTTAGGGTTCAGGGTTTAGGGTTCAGGGTTTAGGGTTCAGGGTTTAGGGTTCAAGGTTTAATCATTGGAGCTTTGGGTTTAGGGTCTGATCCACATGGGGAGTTTCATGAGCCTAGCATTCATTTATGACCTCTGTAATGGAGCTACTTCAAGATGCCGTGACCGCTAGAAGTTGTTGGTTGGAAAAAGGGTTGACATTATCAGCTGTACGCAGTTGCTCAGTCCCATCAAACCTCCATGTAGAATATATGTATATGTTTTAGGGTTAAGGGATGTTAAGGGGTTCTCAGGGTTTAGGCGCTAAATTGAAGAGCATAGGAAGTAACAAGTAGGGTTGACAGAGCTTCGCCTTGGGCGGCCGGGCTCAAGACTTACAGTTTGCCCTCTAGGGTTTAAGGGACTTGCGGCTTGGGCTTCCACACTGTAGGCATTTAATCGCGATCATAGAAGAAAGAGGACTGCTTTCGAGAACGGTCACGAAGAAAAACTAAACGATGTCTCTGTAATTTCGAAATCAAAAAGAACTCACATTTTCTGATGGCTTAAAGAATCAGATATCTTAGATATCTTTTATGTTTTGGGATCTTGGAAATCCATTTTCAATTTATATCTCAGATTGCAGTCTACTGTACATTTTCATGTCTATTGGGTACGAACTATAATTGAAATTTCAGGTCGAGCTCATTGTACGGAGATATCTAAGATATCATGCGTGATGTCTCTTCTGTCTGTGAGTGAGAGCAGTTTCATATTCCAAAGTCACTCAAGAAATCTACTCAGGAAATTGCACAGGGAAATCTTAGTTCTGATATCTTCTGAATGGAGCTAATTCGGATGTTACTCGACAGAAGTTAAAGAATAGCTTTTAAGCACGATTCGCAACGCTGCTCACAATTGATTCGTTTCTTTAATCAACAGCCAACACCTATCCAGATAACATCGTTACAAAAAAGAGAACCACTTAGGAAAAAAACAAAGACATGTATGGGGTCATTCCCCCTTACAGTAACTGTTACCACAATGGGTTGTAGGAGTTATAAGAAGCCTGTTAGTAAGGCCCCTTTTAGGACAGTTACTGGGTGCGGGAATGACCCAAGACATGTATGTGACCTTTGCGCGAGCTTAAAAATGGCCCTAAGCCCTTCACCTGGCTTCCAAACCCTTAACTCCACGCCCTTAATCCTAGATCCTAAGGGTTTAGGGTTTAGGGTTTGACTAAACCTTAACCTCAAATCCTAATCCTAAGCCTGTGGCACGTACCCTAAGTCCGTTTTGCCCTTGCCCTATTGGTTCTGTCGAAGGAACTCCTCAGCATCGGCCAGTGAGAGGGTCACCTCAGCAGCACTTTGCATAAAGCCCCCAAATCAGGGTTTAGAGGTTTAGGGGTTTAGGGTTCAGGGCTTCGGGTTTAGCATGAACCCCAAATCTCTCAAACTCCAAGATTTGAATCTCCAGGCTTTGAAATTTCTCAAGTTTCTGAAGCCCATAGTGTATATTCCTAAGCCCCAAACCCTCAACCCTGTATATGAAACCCCAGGACCCTCTAACTCCTTTCCCTAAACCCTTAACCCTGAACCCAAAACCCTGAACCCTAAAGCCTAAACCCCAAGGCAGCCAGTTTCTCTGCTGGGCCTCTGCTGCAGAAGGCCGGCCCACAGCCAAATCTTCCAAAAAGAGCTCCAGGGGATACTCCGCCTCAAGTCTTTCGGGTTGTTTTAGGGTTTAGGGTTTAGGGGTTTAGGGTTTAGACCTCTTATTCGTGAACCCACCTCTCCTTAATGGGGATTGTAGTAGGGATACTAATCTGCAGGCTCTTAGGAGGGGGTTTATTAATCACGGGTCTACATTAGGGTTTAAGTCTGGGGTTGGTTTTGGGCTTAGGGTTGGTTCAGGATTCGTTAAGGGTTGGTTGAGGGTTGGTTGAAGGTTTCTGGATTTACGGCTAAAAGTGAAATTGGGAATGCAGTGCCTCTAGCTTATGTACCCTTACAGTAACAGTTATCACAAAACGTAGTCGGACCTAGGACGAGTTATAATGGCCTCTGATTACAGACCTTTTTAAGGACAACTAGTGGGAGGGGGAATGACCCTAAACCCTAGACCCTCAACCCCTAAACTCGTAAGCCCTAGCACCTAACCGCTAAACCCTAAGCCCTAAACCCTAGACCCTAAACCCAAAACCTTAGACCCTAAAGCCCTTAAGCCTAAACCCTAGACCCTAAAGCCCAAGCCCCAGGGCTCCCTCATGGTTTGAATTATGCGCTTGGTTCAGACTTGGGAGTTAGGGTTAGCGGCTTAGGGTTCAGCTGCGGATACGTAGTCTGCTTACATGTTCGCACATTAGGGTTCAGGGTTGATGGTTGTGTTTAGGGTTTAGGTTTTGAGTAAGCCCACTATACCTTGAGTAAAGAATACCTGGACGCCGAAAACATGTAGAAGAGAAACCCAGCCAAGGAGAGCTTCAGGAGATAATTTCGCCTGCATGTGAGCTATAGCCTAGACTCCTAGTATCCCCCTTAAGAAACCCTATAATACTCTTATATGATCCCCTATATAATCCCCCATTGAGGAGTTTAGACAGCTCATGTAATGATGTAGCAGCCTGAACATTAAGGTCCCGGACATATGAGTATGAGTTTGGGGCTGTATATATATATATAGATATTTCAATTGTACATACATATGTATATAGAGATATATGACACACATGTATGAAGATAAATGCTTCTGTTCATTGTTCAGGCCTCGACATGTCAGGGGTTAGGACTTCCTCGAAGCTAACATATGAGCTAAAATCTAAACTCCNNCCCCCTTTAAGGAGTTTAAAATATACCTCATATGAAGCCCAACACATGTCTTACACAACTAATCCCGAAGCTATGAGGGCTTCCACGCGAAGTTGGCGGAGGCTGGACTGAGGGTTTGGACACAAGATTTAGGGTTTAGGACTTAGGTTTGAAGGGTTTAGGGTGATAAGTCTGGTAAACATTATGGTTCTGGACCTTATATACATAGCTGTGTAACTGGGGGACCCACTTTTTAGTTAACTACCACCCTTGAACCTTCCCCTGACAAAGTATGGTAGTCATTGTTCCAGCAAACATGAACGTTCAGCTTATGAGACCTGAAGCCCATTCAGTCCCCATTCCACTCATGGGTTGTTCTCAAAATTATTACGGGCCCCTTTTGGTTGAAGACTATAATACGGCACCTAATATTTAGGGGTACTAACATGGGATCCTAATTTTGGGAACTGCCCTCAGGGGTCACTACTGAGATCAGCTTATGCCCAGTCCAACCTCTGTGGCTGAGGGCAGATAAAATCTTTAAGCAACTCCTTGGACCCCGTTGAGGGTTTACTTGGTAGCCCAGTAACCATGTTACAATAAGGGTACCCTTTTTCTGTTGGTATATTATATCTGGGAACCCAGAACCCAAAAAGGGTAAAAGGGTACCACTGGGGTTCCTAGTTTAGGGTCTGCTGTAGCATTCTTGCAGCAACTAAGCCCTGAACCCTAAACTGGAGCTCCTACGCCAAGACTCCCAGCCCCAAACCCTGGAACACTGTGCCTCCCCCCATTAAACCCTTAACCCTAAACACCAAGTCAAGACCCTGAACCCAAATACCGTTAAGCACAAACATCTGAGCCCTATATATCCCCGCGTGAACCTCTTCATAACTCATGTAGAACTACATTGCATATCAATATATGAGCTGTAGGCTAAACTCCTAGTATCCCCCTTGATAAGCCCTATAGTAGTCCCATATTATAATTCCCTATGTAAAGCTCTTCAACGAGCTTAGATTATAGCTCATACAGCCCTGATTCCAAGCTCTAAGCCCTATATACCCCCACCTAACCCCCATAAAACCCTTCATAATCCATGTAGAGCCTACATTACATATCACTTTTTAGCCCTGATTCCAGGATCTCAGCCTGCTCTGCCGCTGAGGGGAAGAGCAAGGTGTGCACTTCTGCCGGCCCACGGCGGATCTGAAATGATTCGAAATCCAAGGAGTGGAGGGTTGGCCCCTAAACCCTAAACCCCAAGGTTTAGGGTTTAGGGTTTAGGGACTAGGGTGACTATAGTGTTTAGGGTTCAGGGCGCGGAGATTAGGTTTTGGAGCTTGTCATGTTGATGATCTTCTGGTTTTTCTCTGGTTTGATGCACACAGGTAGGTTGACGTTTGAAAGTCGCATGAGGCTGACGGTTGTCTTAGGTGCTACTACCACGCCGTTCAGGGCTTAGGGTTGAGGGTTTAAGGTGAATGCATCTGGAGTGCCAGGTCTGTTGGAAACTCTGATGCCTGATAGTGACCTCCTGTATGACCCGTGCGTGATCAGCACAAACAGCAGTCCAACAGCATGCCTGAACGTGCAATTACAAGCGCATGCACACGAGAAACTTGAGGTGATAAAGGCCTCATTCGTACTTGGACGGTCAAAGGAACTTTGCAAATTCGTCATGCCTGTAAACCACATATCAACCCGACTCATCACGACAATCAACCTGCTTACTACGTCGCCCTGATCGTCTACGCAATGCCCACAAGAACATCAACCACATCCCCAACAAAGTTTCCTGACTTCTGAGCGCTGAGGCTCGCAATTCTAAAGGACGACGTTGCAGTATAAATGATGCACACCACACTTACAAAAAACAGCTTCACGATTTGGAGCATCCAAAAAAGAAAGCCCACGCATCCGGGAGGATGAGGCACCTTCCAGTATAGCCTAAGAGCTCACAGGGCCCAAAAAAAAACATAGAGTACGTACTTGGGGTGTCCAGGAATCTGCAAACCCTAAATCCCCAACCCCTAACACGCGGATTAAGGTTTAGGATTTAGGGTTTCGGGTTGAGTACTGCCCCCTCCCAGTAACAGTCTATATTGGGGGTCCTGTTAAGGGCTATATATAATCATATTATATTTATTATCCAACTGTTAGTGAGGGGGGACAGTACCCAAGGTTTAGGGCTTAGACTTCGAGCTGAAAAAACGCCTCCGGGTCGCCCCAGCGCTCGAGCAGCGCCGCCCGCCGCCTGGGTGTGAGGAGTGGCGCCTGGCAGCAGGTGTAGATCGGTTTAGGGTGTAGGGCTTTAGGGCGGAGGGTTTAGGATCCCCCTTAAATTGGTTATAGGGTTATATAAGGGGTATATTAGGGGTTATATTGGGATAATGCAAAAGAAAATGGAAACTACTATAGTATATTGGGGTTATATAGGGTTTAGGGTTTGTAGTCCCCCTTAAGTAAATGGAATATGGGCTATATGGGGATCTTATTTTAAGATACCCAAAGTCATATTCTATCTACTTTAAGGGTGACTATAGGGTTTAGGTTTTTTTGGGGTTGAGGGTTTAGGGTGGAAGTATGTGCCCATATTATGGGTCTGTAGCCTTTCCTAAGCAGCCCGTAGCATTCCCTTAAAGGTGTATAGAGAGTATATATGAGCCATAGTCTGAACTCCTAGTATCCCAGCTTAGTAAGCCCTATAGTACTCCCCTATAACACTCCCTATAGCCCCATTTCAAGGAGTTTAGCCACCAAACCCAGAACCCAAAACCCTATAGTTTAGACGATAGCTCATATGAATTAGGTGTATGCTCCATCAGTTAGAGGCTTGCCAACTGGACACTCAATATATGAGCTATAGTCTACACGCGTTACTGAGGGGATTAATATGTGGGATTATATAGGGTTTCGGGTTTAGGGGTTCTATAGGGGATTGGATAGGCGAGCATAATTATAGGGGTTACGAAGGGGGATAATAGGAGTTTACACGATCGCTTACATACATGCACCAATGTTCCTGAGGCATCCTCTGTACACTCACCATTTGCAGGATCTTTCGACTTAGTAAGTCTACCTACTGTCCCCAATAACACCTACTATAAACCCCATAACCCCAGTTACTACGCAGACTTTCTAAGTCAAGAGATCCTCCAAGCAATCCTCAACCCTAAACCCTGAACCCTAAATCCTCCAAGCAGAAACCTATAATGAAACCATCCCGTACATGGGGACCCAACGTGTCAGCTTGTAGTCGTTCATTGACTTGGGTTTGCCTACCCTAAAGCCAAAATCCTAACCACCTTGCCCTAAACCCTAAACCATAAGGCCTCAACTCTGAAGCCTAAACCCCCAATCCTAGCGCCCTGAACCCTAGACCTTAGAGTCCTACACCCTAAGCCCTGAAGCCTACGCCGTAAACTCGAAACCCCAAACCATAGAGCCTTCTATGCGGTTCCAGTTGGGGGTTGCTATGGTTTCAAGGTAAGGCATCCTCAGGGAAGGGCCTTTAAACCTGAAAACCCTCACCCAAAATCCTAGCCCTAGCCCGAGGACCACAATGTTGTGCTTTCCATAGGTCGCTACAAACATAGGGTTTAGGGTTTAGGGTACCCTAAACCCCTCGCCCAGAATCCTAGCGCTGGTGCAATATTTGGGGGATTATAGGGGAGCATTAAAGGGTTACTAGTCCTGGTTACAGCCCAAAATGGATGACCCTAATTTTTGGAATCCCTCCACCCCCAAGCTTTCTAAGTTTCCCTTTTGAACGCTATAGTCCGCCTAAGACCCCTTGAAAGGGACCCTTAACCCTTAACCCTAGCAATTGTTGGAACCCCCTCGTATTCTTGGTTGCCTACTAGCTATGCCTCAGTGCTGAAGTGCTGGTCCAAAACCTGCGTCACCGCCTCCTGCATGCCAGAGTTCATAGGTCCCTTTAAAGGTAGCAGGGACATGTTGTAGGGTAGAGGGTTTACGGGTTTAGGGGCCTAAAATTCAAGGGCTGAGGGTCAGTTTAGGGGCTGGGCCCTACCTGGAAGGGTTTAGGGTTTAAGGGTTTACCGTTTTAAGCTTTAGGGCCACCAATGAATGATCAAATGAAAGTGAAAAACATGGAGCACACAATGGCAACTGAGCTCACATAGGGGTCCATGGGATTGTAAGTAGGGGGTGATGTTGGGAGGGTAAGTCAGGGGAACTTAGTCAATAAATGCTGGTGAGAACTGGGCTCATTACATGGCTGTGAGGGTCATCAATATCCTTACTTGCGCTGTGAGAGGTCATCAATATCCTCACTTTCTGCCCCTGACCCCCAACTCAAGCTTATGGGTAAGTGCTTGCAGGGCTTAAATATCAAAAAACGTCGTGGCTCAAGTTTACTCACCCGTCGTGGGGAATGGGACATGGATCCCTATTTCGCGTGCGCCGCCGCCTCGTCGCCTCTGTTTAGGGTTTAGGGTTTAGTTTGGGAATTCTGTGTGTTTCAGAGGCATGTCGGGTGGGACACCCCAATAAGCTCGATCCAGATTGTCAAGAAGCAGAGAATCTCCCCTTACACTTGCCAAAACAATGGGAGCAGCCCTAAACCCTAAACCCCAAACTACCTCCTACGAAAGCAAACCAACCACACACGCCAACACCAACTCTGCCCTCTTAGCGTGTAGGGCTTTAGTTTAGGGTTTAGGGTTCAGGGCCCAGACATATCGGGGGACCCATTTAATGTTTGGTGTGGGAGTTCATGCTAATTATCGTGGAAAGCCAGTTACCTACATGGCCTCCTGGGTTGTAGGTAATACAGCACCTACAAGTTTATGACCGAAGAACAGTAACTCGACATATGCGCATATACGCCCATGAATCTTAACCCTGAGCCGCACAACCCGAACCCCAAACCGAAACGCTAAACCCCAAAACCTTGTAAACCTTAAACCCCAACCCTAAACTCTACACCCTAAATCTTAAACCCCAACTCTAAACCCTACACCCTAAATCCTAAACCCTAAATCTGAAACCCTACACCCTAACCCCTCAATCTTAAACCCCATACCCTAAACACTCAAGCCCATTTAAACTTACCATTGTTTAGGGTCCCCAAATTTCCTTAATATGAAAAGTTTCAAAACCAAAATGACACCCCCAAACCCTAAGTAATGGTAATTGACCCCAAATTCTACTTCTAAACACTGGGATCCCACGCCTTAACCCTGAGCCCTTCAACACAGGGGTTTAGGGCTTGGGGTTTGGGGTTTAGGGTTTAGGAGTTTTGAGGTTTTAGAGGTTTAGGGTTTAGGGCTTGGGGTTTGGGGTTGAAGGTTTAGGAGTTTTGGGGTTTTAGGGGTTTAGGGTTTTAGGGGTTTAGGGTTTAGGGCTTGGGGTTTGGGGTTTAGGGTTGAGGAGTTTTGGGGTTCTAGGGTTTTAGGGGTTTAGGGTTTAGGGCCTGGTGTTTGGGGTTTAGGGTTTAGGTCTTGGGGTTTAGGATTTATGGTTTTTTTGAGGAAGCCACTTATTGTTTAGGGTTTAGGGGCCTAGGCAGAGTAGGCATTATTCAGGAAAGCTAGGTAGGGTGAAAATTATGGCGCTCTTGGGGGTACTTTCCAAACTGGGGGGCTGTCTTGTGCTAAGGACCCCACCAGAAAAAATCATTTTGAAAACCTTGATCCCTAAAGCTTTGCATCTCCCTAGACATCCCTGTAAAATCCCTACATAGCCCCTGCATAGAACCCCCTAAAACGGGCCAGGTGAGCAATAGTCTGAACTCCTAGAATCCCCTTTAATAACCCCTATATTACTCCCCTATATAATCACCTGTGTAACCCCCTAAGCCCTGAACCCTAAAACCTAAATCCTTAAACCCAAAACCTAAAACCCAACCCTAAAACCTCAATCCCTGAATGCTAAACCCTGAACCTTAAACCCTAAACCCCAATGCAGGGGTGATTTAACGGCCTCAGCACCCTCCAGGGAGCCCCCCTCAGGGGCTTGGAGAGCCAGGCAGCTGGTGGAACCGCCGCCTTTAGCTAGGGACATGACCCACTTTAAAACTTTGCGGGTTTAGGGTTTAGGGTGGATGGGTGTATGGGTTTGGGGCTTGGAGGGGTATCCCCCTCGCAATAATAAACCACGGGGACAGGGGTCGTATCAAGTAGTACAAGTAGAGTAGTAATCGTCTGGAAGTTTCAGAAGCGTCGGAAACGAAGGATTACTGTTACAATTTACGCCTACGATTACTGTTACAGTTACTGTTACTGCTACTATTACTATTACTAGTACAGTTTTTAGTACTATTACTGTTACTGTTACTGTTACTATTACTGTTACTGTACTATAGTAAACGCAGAGGCTGGCAGCTTCAAGGCATGTGGCCGACTAAAAACGCTTGGTCTAGGGTTTAAGGTTTGTGGTTTAGGGCTTAGGGTCAAAAACGCTTGTCTAAAAAATCAGACCTACTGCAGGGAGGTTTGATACGGTCTGTTCTGCTTCTGCAAGCCTCCAATTGAACCTAACTAACATTTCGCCTCTAGAAACCTGAAACTAGGAAATTTTCCGACTAACCATAACGTTATTGCCACCCCTTATTATTGCCGATGGGACTTGTTTACAGCACTTGTTAGAAAGCAGTTTTGATTGTCCGGGCAACAATATACTATTGTCACCCGCTTTACTAATGCTATGGTAACATTATAGGGTGTGTGCATATATATATATATAGAGGGTATATGTAGGGTATATAAGGTATATAGGGTTCTGGGTGGTACTTCACAGGCCCACAAGCATCTGGAACTAGCTTTAGGGTCTAGGCGGGAACCAAAAACCATATCCAAAATTGCTACCTTGACAATCTGCAAACTGAGCCCCACGCCGGCATTTTCAATCGACCAGGACTTTAGCCTCATCTGAGTAGTGTTTTTTTTTGTGGTTGAACCTAGTAAGATAATATTCCTTATATGGAAATACTATACACCAAAAGGAGGATATAATCTTACTCTATATTGGGTACCATAGAATCCCCAAATAAAATGCTACTCATCTGGGTTGTTGGCGTTGAGAGGGTTGTAGCATGGGGTTTACTATGACAATCCCGGAGAAACTTCCACATGCGCGTGGTATAGACAGCGGCTCATGCAACCACAAACTCCTACTACAGAAGCCTAAATAGCTACCCATGTTGTTTAAGGTCCATTTGAGGTACCATGTACAATAATCATAAATGGAATCTGGAACCAAAAAATTGGTAACTATGTAGGCCCCTATAGTACCGTAAACCCTAAACCCTAAACCTTTGACCCTAAACCCTAAACCCTCAAGCCCATATAAACTTACCATTACTTAGGGTACCCAAATTTGCTTATTTTAAAATTGCAAATTTTTGAAAAACCAAAATAACCACCCCTCCCCAAAAACCCTAAGTAATGGTAATATACCTGAGGCCCCTACATTAAACTACAAAATCGTCCAAGGCAATGGCTCTTTGAATCCCAGCCCCGGGGCCGCTTCTCGAAGCGCCGCAAAGAACAACTGCTTGGTTTGGGGGTAAGGCTTAGGGTTTAGAGTTTAGGGTTTAGGGTTTAGAGCTTAGGTTCAGGGTTTAGGGTTTAGGGCTTAGGTTCTGGGTTTAGGGTTTAGGTTTGTGGGGTTTAGGGTTCAGGGTTTGGTGTTGGAGCTCGTGTCCTGCTAAGGGGTGCCTTGGCATGGGGAGATGCGTAGGAACTACGCGGCACTTAGGACCCCTACTAAGTGCTAACCCTTAAAGGCACCTATGATAGAGGTATAAGGGAGTCCCAGAAGGTCAAGGGTCTAAGGTCCAAGCTAAGTCCCAAGGAGGGAATATAAGGATGTAAAGGTTTAGGGTCTAGGGTTCAACTTTATACTTGATGATGGCCCGAAGGCCGGGCCAATTATCCAAGAGGCCAGTATTCTGCATACCTTAGGGGTCCAGGTAGCGCTGGAGGTTTGGGACTTTAGTGTAGAGGTTCAGGGTGTCGTTTTGATCTGGATTTCGGTTCAGGGCCTAGGGTTATAGGGCGCAGGTGCTCGTAGCGGATTCTCCGGTATACGTTGCCTCACACCCTAAATCCTACACCCCAAACCCTGCAGTAAAGAAAGCTTCCCACGGCTTGTCGCATGCTTACTTGTATTGGCTCCGTGCTCTCTAGAACCATATAGCAGAGCCGGAATAATGAGCACAACAGTTGTTCGGTCTATTTGAGGTACCCAATGCTACAATTACACAAGGAATCTAGGACCGCAATATTGGCAATTGCCCTTAAAACCCCCAATATACAACCAGTTTCAATTTCACGTCCCATTTGATTCTCCACTTATTCTGGGGTTCACCCTGGGCCCGAAGTGGATAAACTTCACCTACATGGGTCTAATTGGAGCCCGAGGGCTATAACTTCGAATGCTTTCACTGACTGCATGTCTTTCCCAAGTATTGCTCCTCAATGAGTCTTGGAGTGGAGGCACGGCAAGGCATGCGCAACCTACATTGGGAGTCAAAAAGCATGTCTGCCCAAGTATTCCACGCTACCTGAACAAATTGGAACAAAGGGCTATGTGCTCGGTTCTAAGGACGGTAGTAAGCATCTGAGCCTTTGGTTTAGGGCTTAGGGTCCCTGTTAATAAGCCTGTAGCTCATCTGTATCCGACAAGTGTGCCCCATGGAGAGGAGTGTCTCCCAGGCAGCCAGTCTCTTGGCTGCCCAGGACATTTGCCTCCAGGAGGGGGAAGGTTGTTGTGGGCCCAGGCGGAGGGCCCCGACCAAGCGAAGGCTTTGTGGACGAGGCCGCTTTCTGAGCCGTTTGGGACGGGGGGGGTTCTTGAGGGGGCCAAATAATGAGAACAGGACTTGCGGGGTATGTTGTAGTCTAGCTCTCGTACAAACTATGAAAGGATAGCAAGGGCAGAGTATTTTGGCTTCTAAAGCCTTAAGGGTCCAAGTAGCCAACAATCACACATACACTTGCCCAAAAAATTGCGCACCACCTTCTATTACCCAAATCCCAGGCAGACTACTCCAGCGTGGGGTGCTTGGCCCTTTGGGGGTATCGTCACCCTAAACTCTGAACCCTAAGCTAGTATCTGTTTAAGAATGCTTAAAATGTTCAGGGTTTAGGGGTTAGGGGTTAGGGTTTAGAGGTTTAGGATCCCCATATTACCATTCTAAGGAAGAATATTTTCCTATTTTTTGGGTAGTCCTTCAAGCAAATAGTACTACTTGGCGCTTAGGACCCCTACTAAGGGTCAACCCTTAATTACCTATGATAGGAATATAAGGGAATCCCAAAGGGTTAAGGGTCTAAGGTCCAAGCTAAGTCCCAAGGAGGGTAGTGAGCGCTACTTTTTGCTGTCGCTCCTTTTTTGGCTGCTGCTCCGGCGTGCCTCGCACTGAGCATACTACGCACCCAAGGCCCAAGGCCCAAACCCTGAACCCTAAGGGATTTGGAACCCCAGTAGAAAATATAATTTCAGCNNTTCAGGAACCTTGTAGTAAACCCGACACTCCCGGAAACCAACATGGAAACTCAACAAGGGGCCTATAAAGACTAATTACTGTCCTTCTAAAAGGGGACTATATGGGTTTCCATGTTAGTTTGGGGGAGTGTAAACCATAAGAACACAAAGTGAATCCAACTCCTAGGTACCTGTGTACATGCCCATAGAACCCCTGAGCTCATAGGCCTAAGACTGGTCCGTAAACTCATATAGACCCTACATAACATATCCAGTGTATTCCTACGTATCCCTGTATGTCCCTGCAGAACCCTAAACCCCAAACCCTAATCCCTAAACCCTAAACCCTAATCCCCTTCCTCTGCTCCTATGCGCTCAGAGACAGCCACAGGGGCTGCCGTCTTGATTCACACCTCGGAGTCACCCAGCATAGTCCGGTTTAGGGTTTTTAGCGTTTAGGGTTTATGGTTTAGGGGTGTTTTTTTGGTGGTTGAACCTAGTAAGATTATTTTCCTTAATTATATGAAATAGTATACCCAAAAGGAGGGCATAAGCTTACTCTGTATTGGGTACCATAATACCCCCAAATAAAATACTACTCAGCAGGGTTGAGGAGGTTCAGTGTGGGGCGAGGGGTTTAGGGATTTAGGGCTTTAGGAGGTTGAGGGTATAGGTTTATTTGGGGTTCCTTTGAAGGGATATATAGGCAGATGGGCAGGTATACAAGAGGCATGTGGGGCGAGGAACTAGGGTTCAGGGATTTGAGGATTTAAGATGAAGAAGGTATCTGGGGTCTAGGGTTCCACGGTTCAAGCTTTAGGGTTTAGGGCTTAGGGTTTCGGGCATAAGGTTTGGGGCTTAAGTTTTAAGGCATGTTCAGGGTTCGCCCCCTCCCCTCCGTGTACAAAACGGGAAACGAACAACGATTCGAAGGTGCTACTTGGTACATGTCCCCTACAAATATGCATAAACAACTGAGGCCTAAAGCATCCACGTAGACCTGAGATCATAATCGGGATCCTGGTATCATCCTGGGTAGATTCCTCAATTGACCCATGGTCTTTATTTATGTTAAGACGGACCGTAGTTGTGTTCGTTGGCATAGTCCGACAGCTGAACCCTAAACCCTAATGGTCCCAATTTCATTTAGCAGCCATTACCCTTTAGACACGGCGTTTAGACTATAGCTCATGTGATTCTCCAGTACGTTATTGGGGCAAATTATCCCTGAGCCCTAAACAAGATACCCCGGGTCCCAGTCTGCCTATAACAACCTTACGTCTCCCTATATATCCCTGTATCATCCTGGGGTAACCCTATATCCTACACCCTAAACCCTGAACCCTAAACACTAAACCCTAAACACTAAACCCTAAACCCTAAGCCCTGAAAACCCTAAACCCTGAACCCTTAACCCTGAAAACCCTAAGCCCTGAAAACCCTAAACCCCAAGCCCTTAACCTTGAAAACCCTAAACCCTTAACCCTGAAAACCCTAAACCCTGCACCCCTAAACCCTAAACACTTAACCCTAAACGCTGTAACCCTGAAAACCCTAAGCCCTGAAAACCCTAAACCCTAAACCCTTAACCCTGAAAACCCTAAGCCCTTAACCCTTAACCCTAAAAACCCTAAACCCCAAACCCCAAAAAACCCTAAACCCTAAGCCCTTCTGAGCCGAAGGTCCTCGGTCTGACGGTTTTGCATCCACGTCTCTCATGTAGCATCAAAACAGA